TGAACTTTTAATACTGTTACTCAAACAGATGATGCCTCTTATTCATTTAAAGAACTCTGAGATTGCTTTGAAACTGGTGGTCAAACCCCAAAAAACATGAAAAGGGGAAGCAGAGCTGAGTTTTAGCCCAGGATTCTTTACTCATTTTTCTCCTGCACTGTCATGGGCTTCCTGGGGCATCTTCAAATGAGCTGCTGAAAGGTCTTCCACAAGATACCTGAGTTCTCCTCTCAATGCAGAGTGATTTGAATGGATACACCAGCAAGAACTGTATCAGAGTACCTGCAAGTCAGAATTAACCCTCCCCTCCCCACAGTGTCCCTTTTCCGGAGAGCTTTTATCAGCTCCCATGTCTAGACGAGCTGCCTCTTCCTTGCACCCAGAGCCCAGCATCCTCATGGCAGAATCCCCATTCTGCTATACGGTACTATATATATTGTACAGATACTGTGATTGTATAAGGCAGTGGTCAGAAAACTGCGGCTCACAAGCCACATGTGGCTCTTTGGCCTCTTGAGTGTGGCCACAAAGTTTCAATCACACTGTCCGTGCATGCCCGCACGTGGTATTTTGTGGAAGAGCCACACTCAATGGGCTGCAGTTTGCCAACCATTGGTATAAGGGGCTGGTGTGTTTCTCCCAGCAGACCATGAGCCTGGATTAGAACTTCACAAGATAAAATGCAGTAGCTTAATGAAAAATAAAAGCTTATTTCCTCATCGTATTATCTATACTAATAAAATGGTAATATGCTAATTTGACCAGGTCAACTATACATCTTCCAGTCATCCTTCTGGACAAAGCCACGGTGGCTGGGGCCTAAGCAGAGGTGATTAAGGGCGATCAGGCCGGCAGGGGAGCAGTTAGGGATGATCAGGCAGGCAGGCAGAGACGCTCAACACAAGGGGAGCACCGCTCATGGCTGGCAAGCACAGCAGCGGTGGCAGCAGCTCTAAGGATGTCCGACTGCCTGCACGGAGAGCGGGTCTCAGCCATCAGTTGGACATCCCCCCAAGGGTTCCCTGACTGCAAGAGGACACAGGCCAGGCTGAGGGACCCCCCTGAGTGCATGAATTTCATGCACCGGGCCTCTAGTTAGAAATATGAGCCTGGCCTGTGTTGCTCAGTAGGTTGGGTGTCCTCCTGTGCACCAAGAGGTCACTGGTTTGATTCCTAGTCAGGGCACATGCCTGAGCTTCTATGCAATCCCCAATAGAGGGGGCGTGCAAGAGCTGGGTGATTGATTGATGTTTCTCTCTCATCAATGTTTCTATCTCTCCCTCCTTTCCTCTCTCTCTAAAATCAATTTTAAAAAACAAACCTATTTAAAGAAAAGAAATATGAAATATGATAGATTTACCAGTCAGGGATAGGTTGTGACTTTCCATGGAAAGGTTGGAGTATCTGGCCAGCATTTCTTCTCGAGCAGGTAGACTTGTAAAAGGTGAAGCTGTGAGAAAAAGAGCAGGTGATTATATAATCTTATCAAGATTAAGTGACTATCTAAAAGCCAGTTTCCAACAGCTAACATGTTATATACTAGTCATGAAAAATAATGTTTTCAGGAAGATCTGATTAGTTTTATATGCTCCACAGATATTCAGAAATATATAGGGCTATTAAGTGTGACCAAATTTTTAATTGTTTTTATGGTCTTTATTTTTTTTAACTGAAAAATACCTATTGATTTACACCAAGTGGCTTTAAAAATAACTTTAATTTTGTTATCCTACAATTTGTAGTTTCTTTATAAAACATAAATGAAGACATTGAGGGGTTAGATAAGAGTGGCAGGAAAAAGCAAGGCATGCGGAGGCAGAGAGGATGAGAGAACAGGAAGCACAGGATGGCCCTAATCAGGGGCATTAGAAGGAACACAGAGAGCACTGAGCACGGGGACACTGGGCCCAGGGACAGACGATGCAGCAATGTCCAGTGAGTCCAGCTCTCTTCCTCTCCAGCTGCAGCTCCAGTACAGGGGCCTCCTCGAAATCAACTTTTCTCTGTCGTTTGCATCTTCTTTTGAAAACTTTTAGCACAGAAACAAGTTCTGCATTTCAGCCTCTCTCACTGGCCTGGAACTTCCGTTCTTACACTGGCTACTGTTTCTCTGACCTCAGGGCCCCAGACCTGACCTCCTCTGAAAACTACTCCGACTCCATCAAACAACTCAGAGAAGAAAAGTAAAGGCTAGTTATTGTCAGTTTGGCTGCATTCCTTAAACTTCATTCAGTTTACATTAACCCTGGCTGGTTTTGCTTCACTTTTTTGTACTTCGCTCAAAATTAATTTCCAGTTATTTCCCTTTCTTCTCTGTATGAGAAATGGTATCAAAGTGAGCGGTTGCTTTTGTCGCTTCAGCTTGCACATAGCGTTTACAGTATTGCCTAAGGAAAAAAAATCTACCCAGCAGAACCTAATTCTCCTGGTACACGGTGTTCCGAAGGCGTGGTCCCTTCTCCTGCAGCTTTGGAATGTGGAATGCACTTTCCCATCAAATCATCCTTAACGAAATCATACTCCCTTCTGGCGATGATTATGTAGGAAAAGATACCCGAGGGTCTCACTGGGCTGCCAGAAATACCAGACCTTTCCCCCACCCACATTTAGTATTCATCATTCTCTCTGCCGCTCAGACACACATGCGCACATCCTTGTTGCCCAAAGGCTGTCTTTTCCTAATGAAAATGCTTTTTTCCTTCCTGGGCCTGGTGCACCGAGAGATGTCGGGAAAGAGAAAGTATCTCAGGAAGGGCCAGGCAGATGGGGCGGGAAGGAAGGAGCTGACCTACCCCAGCATCGGCCCCAGGAAGATTGCACAGCACGGGCTCTAGCTCTGCCTCCTTGCTCTCTCCACCCAGCCCAGGCAGAACAGTAGACAGGTTCACACACTCCTTATCCCTGAAGCAGCATCCTTTCCAGAAGGCCTGACCACATTATTATTATTAATTATTATTATTATTATTATTTACCTTGTAAGCAACAATAAGAAGTGACAGAAGCTGAAAAAAAATTGTTGTCATTCTTCTTGTTTGACGTAAATGACTGCAGAGAGCACCTGACACATGCTTGACGCTGATGAGCGTGAAGCTCAGTGAGCTGGGTTCCAAGAGGTTGCATGAATCATAGCAACATCAGTGTAGGCCTCAGTGTGTGTCAGATTGTCATTAGGGCGTAAGACTAGCCCTCATTGGCAGTACTGACTGTAACCAGCCTGCATATTTCATACAAGTGGGAGCTACAGAGTGGGAAGTCTGATCTACATCTTCAAGGGACAGTGGGTGGGAAGGAGGGCGAGGGAGGACTAATGATGAGATAAGGAGATGAGCTTCGAGGCTGTGGTTATTCTCACCAGGACCTGGACGGAAGGGCTCACCTAGGTCCTGAGTTAGAACAAGGAGAGAGAGGAGTCTAGGCTTGGGTTGGGCAAAATCTAAGCGTAGAGAAGTTGAAGGAAGAGAAGGAAAAGGAAAAACCAAGCTTTGAGAATAGGAAAGTTTGGGTAGTTCCAGACTATACTAGCCATCATGACCACTTCCAATTGCCAGATCATGTGACAAAAGTACAATCCGATGTCTATAAACCAGCTTTCACCTGCCTCCTGACGTCCTGTTCCCTTTAAAGCATTCGTGTTGATCAGGCTCGAACAAGCCCCAAGTGCAAAAGAATATGCATGACTGTTGTGATTTTTGTCTTGGGGAAATCCCTTTAAGAGGCAACATATACAAACATCCCAAGTGCAAGAGCAGGGCCATCTGTAGAAGGTGTTAGACTAGTAAAAGCAAGGAGTTCTTTGTTCAGCAGAGGTCTTTTTTAAGCAAAACAGGGAGAACAGTAAACCTATTGCTTTCAGTTGGCAGGAGGCTGATTAGCAGATGCTGGTATTTGAAGGAAACTGGCAGGAAATGCAGGCAGACATGGCTTAAAAACTTCCCTAAAAGGATTAGGTTGTCACAAAAAGAAATACAAAATGGAGAAGCAGGAATTCTGTATCCTAACCCAAGTTACACTACTGACTTGTTACTTGGGGTTTCACTTCATGGAGAAAGAAGGGTGAGCAAAGTTGTATAATATTGAGTGATGGTGCCAAGAACTTGCAAGCATTCCTCCAGTTATGATACTCTCCCATTTCCTAGTCATTGCTGGAAATTGTCCATGGGACATTATTTTCCAGGGGATGACAAAAATGCCAACATCTGATAGTTGTGGCAAAAATGAAAGGTTTGTTTTTCTTCCTCTGCAGAGACGGTGGCTGGAGCTGTATCATTCCCATGATTGGCTCCGTCTTTACACAGCCATCTTCCCTCTGTGGTCTTTACACGGCCATCTTCCCTCTGTGGTCTTTACACGGCCATCTTCTCTCTGTGGCTGTGTCTCTGTATCCAAATCTCCCATCTCCCTCCTTTACAAAGACCACAGTCATAGGGTGAGGGCTCATCCTAATTCAGAGTGACCTCAATTTACCTTGATTACTTCTGCAAAGACCAGACTCTCAAATACGTTCCCCTTCACAGGTGCCAAGGGTCAGGGCTTGACCACTTCTTTCTGTGGTACACGGCTTGCCCATTGCATCGGGATGCTGTTACAGTGACAGTCCCTCACAGCAGAGAATTATCCAGGCCCAAACGCCAAGGCTGAGGAACCCTCACTTCCAAAAAGGTACATCCTCCACCCTGATTCTTCAACAGAGTGGCTTTCTGTCATCTTCCATGGCCCTGTGGCCCCGAGTTCTGGTTTTGCATCGTTCAGATGCAGAGATTTTACTAGTAAGCTGTGACATTTCTTGCAACCCTTCTTTGCCTTCTCTCCTCTCCCCAAAACTAAACATTCATTTAGAACTGGAACAGAAAGGAGCTGGTGCTTCTTGGTCTTCTAAGTAGTCCACCCCTAGCAGAACCTTTGTGAGGCCTGGCCATGCCCTCCTCCTCTCCAGCAGCAGCCTCCTCTACCCACCTCCACATGAGCCCTGCCCCCAGCAGCCAGGCCACAGCTGAGAGGCAGAGCCAAGCAGAGTGCAGGGCAGCTCCCCACACCTCCCTCCAGAAGGGGTCTATTTTGGTGACCACTTAAGAAGAAGCCCCAGTTGCTGGATGGAGTTTTGAAATGCAAAACAGGAAGCCGGCCCTGGCTACTAGTTAGCTCAGGCTCTTGGCTCCATCACAGAAGCACTTCAGGCTTCGAGATCAATCCAATATTACATCTAAATTCTCTTTCAGGATCTCAGGATTATCCTATATAATAAAAGTGTAGTATGCAAATTGTCCCTTCCACTGGGAGTTCATCTGGGCATTCGACCAGGGAGTGGAGCAGGTGCGGGGAAGGGAGGGAGGCCCTGGCTGGCAGCCGCTAGGGACCCTACCAGTGCACGAATTTCATGCAGTGGGCCTCTAGTGTAATTATAAAGCTGTAAAAAAAGATTTGATCTTTGGAGTAGGGATACATTTGTAATGACATGACCACAATAACTTTAAAAATGCCAGAAAAATAATTTTCAATTAAAAGAATAACACCATTTTTAAAGATAGCATCTATTCTTTCTATAGGAGCAATGCATTATATGAGTCATTTTGTTATGTGTGAACAGTG